CTCCATTCACTCAGTTGCACCAGTCAGAAATCTTAGAGTTACTCATCCATATCCAACTCCCCAGCAAACCTCTGGATCCACCTTCAGAATATCCCTGGAATGCAAGTGTGTCTTATCAAATGTCAGAATCCCCTCTTAGCCAGAAACTTACTGCAGGCATCTCCCAGCAGGTCTCTTTGCTTCAATCTTGCCTCTTAACCATGTGCTTCTCAAATACTCCCTAGGGCACCCCTTTAAATAAAAGTCAGCCCTAGCCACTTTCTTGCTCTGAACCATTGCCCTTGGGATAAATTACACAGCCCTTACCATGGCCAACAAGGAAGCCCCAACTGAAGCTTATTTTGGACCAGTGCCCTTGCCGCATCCTCATCAGTTGCTGCAGAGAAGTTGCTTTCTCATTGAGTTCATTGCTGCTGGTTTTCTCATCACCCATAATGCTCTTCTGTTCATTGTCCAATACCAACAATGTCTTTCTGATGGTTTTCCCTCGACCCACAATGCTCTCCTACATTACTCACCAGCCACTTTCCTCACATCTGCTCAGATGTCACCTGTCAAATAGCCTTCTCCTGACCATCTAAAGCCTGCGTCTATTTTCCATTTTCCATTTGTTACTTAAGCACTCTCCCAAGTATGTTGTCATTTATTCATTTTTTTTCTTCTTCTGCCTACTCAACTTTAAACCATAAGGAGATTAATTTCATTGTCATTAAATATTTTCACTGTTTTACCACCAAAATTGAGTACTATGCCTGGCTCCTGGTAGTATCCAAATGGATATTCATTATTGACTTATTTAATGAATAAGGAGATGAGTGATCCCCTACTTGGAGAGTTTTCTAGTGTGTGAGGCTGGAGATGTAGCTCAGTGGTAGACTTCCATGTACAAGGAGGCCCAGTATTTGACCCCAATGACTAAATACATAAATGAATAAGGTTTACAAAAATGTTAAGAACTGAAGTATGAGGCATTTCCAGCACATAAGAATGCACTTATGAGTATTTGCTGAAGCAAAATTTGTGATTCAATGGTGCTGCTCTTCCAGAGGATCTGAGTTCAATTCTCATTCCCCATGTCAGGCTGCTCATAGTTGCCTGTGACTCCATCTGCAAGGGATCCTATACCCCTGGGGACCCCAGCATATATGTAGTATAGACATAAAATAATTTTTTAAATTCTTTTATTTAAAAAAGAATATTTTTAAATAGAACTGTATCTTAGTGGTTGTGCATAGAATTATTTTGTGACCATGTGCTTATCAAATTCTACTTATATTTCCTCATTTGATGTCTTCCTCTCTGGTCTCTGCTCCATTGGTGATGAATGAAGGAAGTGCCTGCCTTAGCTTGCAGCTGTGATCCTGTTTGATCGGTGGGCATGTCTTCCAAGCTGTCCACCTCAATAGGAAATGTCTCATTGGTTTCCAACCAAATCTCTGGCTCTAGAAGCAAGCTGACTTCATCACTTGATACAGTGTCCAGACACACACATCCAGACACACACATGAGGACAAGGAAGGGAACCACTAAGGACTCCCTGTCATCATATATAAACTTCTGGAGACCACAGACCTACTTGTCCATTCCAAAGCCCTTTACGCATTCACTGACCAGCAGAAGTCCCATGTTCCTGAGACCTGGGGTAACTGCCTTTCACCCCTATCCAACACCTGGAGACTGACTAACCAGGGAAGGAAAGAGCCTAGGGTCAGTAGAAGGCAGTCTGAACTTTGAACCTGGTCTTCAAGAGCTCTTTGACCTTAAGCTGATACTTGACCTCGTCCAGCCGTCATTTCTCCAAGGCTCCAATACCACCTCCCCTGCCTACACTCCTGTGCTGGTTCTGCCCTGTAGGCAGAGAAGACATGTAGCTCAAGAGCCTCAACTACTTCCATCTTTCTGTTGCTGAGTGGGGCTGACAGTCTGGATAGGACTTGGCTGGGAAGTTATGATCTCAGCTGGAGTCCCTTTTGTCTTTCATGAGGTGATATGGCTCAAGTCTGTGAGTTCCCCGTGTGGAAGGAGTCTTCCCTCTCATGATCCCTCAGTTTATCTCAGATTTTATCCTGAAAGCATTTGGGAGGCTTCCAAAGGATCCAGGGCCTTAAAACTGGCTTAGAGCTACCCCCATACTCTCCTATCCTCCTCCCCCTTCTTCCCTCCCATTAATTCTCTTTGTTCCCCAATAGTCCTGTTTCTACTCTCAGGTCTCTCTCTCTCTCTCACTCACACACACACACACACACACACCACACACACACACCACACCACACACACACACCACACCACACACACACACCACACCACACACACACACACACCACACCACACACACACACACACACAACACACCACACACATACACACACACCACACACACACATACACACACACACCACACACACACACACCACACACACTCACACACATACACACACACACACACCACACCACACACACACCACACCACACACATACACACACACACCACACACACACACACACCACACCACACACACACACACAACACAACACACACACACCATACCACACACTCACACACCACACACACACACACACACACACACACACATTTTATGTGTCTATATAAAATTTAAGAACCCCCAATGATAGCAAACATGTCCTTTGTCTTTCTGAGCCTGGGTTAATTTACTCAATGTGATTACCTCCGCTTATATCATTTTCCTGCGAACAACATTGCTTTCTTCTTTATAACTAAAAAGAATCCCATTGTGTATAATATACCACACATCCGTCATCTGTTCCTCTGTTGCCAGGTCTGGAATAGATGGATAAATAACAACAATAACTGTCATGAATGTACTCAACTTACAACACATACTTTAATAAAATGTCCTTATATGGCAGTATGACGTTTAGCAATACACACAGTCAACCTTTGTAAATATGTGGTGTGTGTGTGTGTGTGTGTGTGTGTGTGTGTGTGTTCTACCACAGTACATATTGTAGGAGTCGTTTCTCTTTCCATCTGGTGGGTCCCAGGGATAGAACTTGGGTCTTCAGGCTTGATGATGAGTGCCTTTCATGTGTTAATCCATCTCATCAGCCTGACATTAAAGTAAAATAAAAGTTCAAGAGCCTAGAATCACATATGAACTCTCAGCAGGAGGCTGAGGAAAGAGGGAAACCTGCAGGTTTGAGGGCCCGTCTTGGACAAATAGTAAGTTCTAAGACAGCCTGGGCTGTGATGTGAGATCTTGTCTTATGTCCCTAAAACTGGCAGAACCCTTAAAATAACAAGACTCAGAGTGGAAAATAAGTTCTGTTTTGGAAGTGTATCATGGCAAAATCACACTGCAAATCAATATGGCTTTTTGGAGGTGAAGTGTGGCCATTTTGTGCTGTGTCTCTGCTCTATGACCATAGTGGCTTCCTAGTCTCCTGAGAGCAAGATAGAGGTGGGGATGAAGGTGGCAGGTTTGTCAGGGGCCGGTGAGCTATCTTACGCATCCTCAGGGAGCCTGTCGCTCTGTGTCATGCACCTTCATGAATGGCTTCCGCTGCTGGTCAGGTGTGATTCTGGGTATTAGAAAGAATGGCCACAGGTGAATAATTGTCAAGGGAGGCCACCTCAAAGGTACAGTGACCCCCCCCAAAAAAAGCCATAAAACTAGTACACTGTCCACTCCCTTTATCTGGGTGGAGGGAAGACAGGATGCAAAGGGCTGATACTGAAATGTGTGAGAGATTTGGAGAGAGCGGTGGTAGCTAACAAGGACTGAGCAAAACCAAGCTAGTGCAGACTGCCACCAGGGCTGAGCTTGGGCCCTTTGTTTGTTTAGTGCCAGGGACTACCCCTAAGGTTCCAGGCAAGCACTCTACCACTGAGCTAACGTCAGCCTTGTTTTCCACCACTGGACCATTGAGACACAGAATTGCCAAAGCTGAGTGGAACTCCCTCTGCAAAGCAGGCAGTGTGATCCACTGCCTGCAGCCTCCTGAGTAGCTAGAGTTCTAGCCCTGCAATGGCACACTCAGCTGGAGTGTGTCTTTACACCTAAGAAAGGGGAAGTCTCTAAAAGATTTTAAGCATGAGACTCACACATTCACGTCTGTGCTTCCAGAAGATCCCTCCAGAATCAACATGGATTAGATTAGGAGTGCAGACTGAAATCAAGTTCAGAGCTCTTCTAAATCCACTTGGTGTCTCACCATCAGTCCCAAAGGCAAAGCGAAGTGACCTAGTTTACTGAGGCTGAACACCAGGGCAAGGGCACAGCTAAACAGGCTGTTGAAATACTGAGTTATACACACACACCACACACATAAACGCATGTACCTCACATGCCCCCACACCACATCCATACAGACACATGCATATGCACCACACACATATACATACAAACATACCTCACATATAATAACATGCATGCACATACATGCAATGCTACACATACATGTACATACACACATACACATATACTGCACACATGCAGAAGCGTATACCACATGTGCATATAGGCATGCCTCAAACAATCCTCCACATGTTCAGATACATGCAGATTAGAGAGCTTATGGCTGTGACCCGGAGACCAGTTAGCCAGATCAATGTCAAGTCATAGGGAGACATCGTTCGCACACTATGCTGTCCATAGAGATGGATAGCTATCATCCTAAGACCGAAGACCTTGTCATGAGAAAGAGAAGATGGTATTACACACAGAGCTTGGCACCCAGGAATTCATGCCTCATTTCCAACTGTGAAAACTCAAAAGATAAGAGATGAAAAACCCAGTGTCCTGGGACTTGAGACAGTACATAGGTGGGACCTAAAGAAGCAGGGGGGGAAGAACGGGGCGCAGGGCGGACCTCTGATCCCGTTTCAGCTAGCTGCTGCCCTTGGACTCCCCAACTGGGGCCTGGCACAGCCTCCTGGGCTAAGGTATCTGTGGGGCTGCACCTGCCACAGGTGTCACAGGACTGATCATAAGAGCAGTTGTCCTGTCATTGCATTGCAGCTCCAGAAACTAAAACGGTCACTTTCTTTCAAGACCAAGAGCTTGCGGAGCAAAAGCGCCGACAACTTCTTCCCGAGAACCAACAGTGATGTGAAATTGCAAGCAGACCTGCTGGCCAAGGTCAGCCTGGGCTCTAGCCCAGGCCCCAGCCCAATGCCCGTCCCTGGAAGCCCTGCACCTGTGCCTACCAGGGCTGGCCTACACCCCGGCAGCAACAACAAGGTCCACGCCTTTCAGGAACATGTCTTTAAGAAGCCCACCTTCTGTGATGTCTGCAACCACATGATTGTGGGTAAGAACCCCCTCCACTGTAATAGCCCTGGGAAGCTGAATGAGAACTGGGTGCCCTGGCTCAGGGAACCACAAACGAACTCTGAGCTTCAGAGAGTTGGATGCAAGAGGGTCCACGTGGGGGAGTGGCTTTGAGGAAGAGAGCTTGTATAAAGCAAAGGGAGGCAGGGCCACGTAGAAGGAGAAGACATCAGCTGGCACCCTCCATCAGGAGCCTGGTACCATTTACACCTTTTCTGTATGTAGCCTGTGTATACCTGCCTGAGCCTGATATACCAGGTGGGCAGAGGAGACCTGAATGTCTGTCCTTACTGAAACTGGACACATAAGTGATGGCCGGCATGGCCAAGAAGGTCGAATGCTCTATGATTCCCCCACCTTTACCAAGGTCCAGCTAAGGGGTGCATCAGTGTAAAAAAGAATAAAGAAGAGTTTATTCTAGAGCCAAATATAAGTGGCCATGGTCCCAGAAATACAAATTTAGATTACCCCAAATACCATGCTTCAATGTTTCATGAAGATTTTCATAGTAACAATGAAAGTTATAAATCAAGGGATATATAAAAATAGATGGATGGGGTCAATCATCAGGTAGTCATGTTACAGAAAAGCCCAGGGGGATCTCAGCCGTCACCCTCAGATGTGATTCCTGACATGCTCAGCCTTTGGGCCAGTGGAAATTTAAGGCCGTCATATATTCCAGAAGTTATTTACCTCCAAGTCTCACAAGGCTGTCAGGTCAAACATAGTGGTGGGCAATCAGTTGCTAGGGAACTAAAGATAGCCCCAAAGCATTTGTCTCTGGACCTGCAATATTCTGGCTCTAGGAAGTGACAGCCTCATAGAGTGTAAGGAGGTACAGCTTCTGTTCTGGAACCTTCCACTCCCAGATGGGATATTCTAATTGAGAAGTAACATCAGTCCTGCTGTCGCCATAGCCATGAGACCTGTCCACGTTTTCGGATAGGGCTTACCACTTCACACCTTCCCTCTTTTACTCTTAATGCTCCATGTTTTTCTCCAAATAAGCCAGATGTAGAAAAAGAGGCTTGTGTTAGTCAAGAGGTTTCCATCATAACACCACTCACCCCCACACTAAACTAGCCACCGTTCAGTTCTCGTTTGAGCACCTTTAGATCAGACAGAGCCTGAGTGACTGAGACACTGCGAGGTAGTTGGTTGTATCTTTTCTCGTCCTTGTCCCTCACTCTCTCTTTAAGGCGGAGGCACAGCCCTGTCTTGTCATTGTCCTGGCAAGGACAAGGGGTGGTTCTTGAGCTGGAGGTGGCCCACTGAAACTTCTGGTGAATTCCTTTGGTTGGATAAATTGAATGAGAAATCCCACAGTCGGGAGGGTAGAGAAATACCAATTGATCTTTCCGGCCACCTGGAAAGGGGCATGGATGAAGACACAAAGAACAGGATCAGCGATCTGATCCAATGTCTGGGTCGCCTTTGGATTCTTCAGCCTCTTTGCCTGGTAGGTGCAGCTCCTTCTTGGAGCTCCCACCCACTCACTTCTCCATTTGACCCTGAAGTGTGGCACCTGGCTGCCAGCGCGGGAGACTGAGGGGGTCCCGTCGTGTTCTGTGCTAAAAGTACTTAGCAGCCTGCCTCCTGCTTGGTGTTCTTGAATGCCTCCTTTCTGAATCTCATGCATCACTTTCAATTGCCACCAGGCCTTTTCAAGGTACCGCTATTCATAACCCTGAAAGAGGTGGTGATGAGCGTCTATTTTAGACCTCATTGTGATGCGTGTGAAAAGACAAGGAGCATGTGTTTTTAAGAATGAGTAATGGAAATGCATTCACCTCTGAGGAATGTCACAGCCATTACCCTGGGGGGCTTTTCAGGACATCTCAAGTGCAGCAACAACTTTATAAGACTCCGTACTAAAGAAGGTTACAACGTGCTTTAGTCTGAATTAAATTTACACTGTAGCTGCCTTTTAAAAAGTTATGTGTATATGTGGTTGGGAGGAAGCATGTGCACATGCCTGCATGTGCTCAGAGGCCAGAGTTGGGATTACAAGTGTCGTTGAGCATCCTGGTTCAGGTCCTGGGAATGAACCTCAGATCCTCAAAAAGAGCAGCAAGTGCTTTTAACTGCTGAACCGTATCTCCAGACCCATGTATCTGCCTTTTAAATTACTTTGAAGACAGAGTCTCATGCATCCTAGGCTGGCCTAATTAGGACAGTCTTGAACTTCTTATCATCCTGCTTTCCCTCCCCCAGAGAACTGGGATTACCTTTGTGTGCCACCACACCTGGTTTTATAAGGATCAAACCCAGGTCTTCATGAATGCTGAGGAAGTACCATAGATACCTGTTCATTGAAAACCCTTTTTAACTGGGGTGGGGGAGGGGCATGCATGTGCAAGTGGGGGCTTGAGGTTGACTGTCAGGCACTGCCTCTATCACTACTTTTATATTTTGAGGCAGGGTCTCTCATTGGACCCAGAGCCCAGCCTTTCTGCTAGTCTGGCTGGACACGGAGCTCCAGGAGTCTGCTTGCCTTATCCCAATCCCTTCATGCACTGGGGTTATATATGTATGTGTCACCACTTTTCCTGGCTTTTACATGGGTGTTGGGGACCCAAACTCATCGGTTCTTAACCTGTGGGTTGCAATCCCTTTGGGGTCACCTAAAGCCATCAGAGAAAACACAGAGATTTACATTATGATCCATAACAGCAAAAGTAAAGTTATGGAGTAGCTACAAACATAATTTTACAGTTGCGGGGGGGGGGAGGGGTCACACCAACATGAGGAAGTGTATTAAAGGGTGGCAACAGAAGGAAGGTTGAGAAACAACTGCCGGAAGCCATCTCCCCGACCCTACTGCTTGTTATCTGAGAAAGTAGCCAACAGTTGACCTGCTCTTTTCAAGGGTCTAACAAAGCAAACCAGTGCCTTCTTTGAGGAGAGCAAGGAAAGGACTGAAAGACGTGAGGGACAGACACCATGTCAGGGGCTTCTTTGAATGAAAGAGACCAACAGACATTACCCTCCCTACTCTAGGTTTCTGAGACAGAAGTACATTCTCGACTGGTCTGTGAAACAGCGTGTGTGTGTGTGTGTGTGTGTGTGTGTGTGTGTGTGTGTGTGTGCCTGTTGACACCTGTCCTTAAAGTTGTAAGGGTAACATGGCCACCGAGAGCATACTATCAGTATAGACCGTCATAGCCAACCATCTGTTTCAAGTTCCTTTGCCTCAGACGATGCCTGAGGCACTCCCTGTTACTCTGGCTTGCACACCCAATGGGCTAAGTAGTTCCCAGGCTAGGCCCTCTGGACAGTCTAGTCATGCCTCTAGAGCTCCCTACTGTTCATTTTTGCCTATGGGGCAGGGTTGCTGTGGATGATTTTTAAAAAATATTTTAGTACGATATTTTAATTTATTCTTTGAGAATTTCATACATGCATACAATGTATTTCAATCATACTCATCCCCTCTCCCCATCCGATTCCTTCCAGATCCTCTAACTCCCCCTGCCCTAATTTTATGTACTTTTATAAAACCTTGCTGTGTCTAATTACAGCTGGTAATACACACGTGTGTGCGCACACACACACACACACACACACACACACACACGTGTGGCCACCCACTGGAGCTTGGGCAACCTACTAGGTACCAAACCATTAAAGAAAACTAATTGTCTCTCTCCTGGCAACCATGAAGTGTCAGTCACTTCCCAGCTAGGAGTGGAAACTCATGTGTCCCACCCCTCTCCATCCATCTGCAGGTCTTGTGCAGGAGACGAGAGGCCATTAGTGAGCACAATGGAGCATACTGTTTCTCCCAAGTCCTCCCCATTCTCAAGCTCCTCCAATCTCTCTAGCTCCTCTTCCTCAATGTTCCCTGAGACATGGGAAGAGTGGTAGAGAGTGCGATATATTCTCACCTCTTTAGCAGCTTCTACAAAGACTGGTTTAAGTCAATGATAGACCCAACCTTTCATAGAAATGTAATAGAAGCAAGTAGTCCTGTGTGCCTATGAACTCCAAAGATGAGCGGCCTGCCTCTAGAACAACAGGACTCAAGACTAAGTCTTAGATGGAGAGAATTACAAACAGACCAAGGTCCTTGGTCAGATGAACACCTTTTTTTCCTCCAAGCAGATCCTCTCCTAAAATCCTTAAGGCTTGCCAAGGAGAGTGTCAGAGGACCATTTTCTCATACATCATCTAAATGGATTCTACTTATGGCATTCTGCCTTGACTTGGCAGTGACTCATTCAGGGGAGCATTGAGCCACTGTGACAATGCAGTAGGTAAACGTATGTGTGTGTGTGTGTGTGTGTGTGTGTGTGTGTGTGTGTGTGTACATGCACATGTGTGTGCATGCATGTGTGAGTGTATGAGTGTGTTTGTGGAGGCTGAGGTAAACATTGGGCACCTTTACTCTCCACCATTTTTTTTTTTTTTGAGATAGAGTCTGGCATTAAACCTGAAATTTAACAATATGGCTAGACTTGGTAGCTAGCATGCTCTAACATACTCCTGCATCTATATCTCCAGTACTGAGATTATACCACCATGTCCAGATGTTTCATGGATGTGAAACACATGTTCTTAATATGACCAGTTTTAGGCATGGATCTGTTCTGTCAATTAAGAAAATTATTTTTCCTACAAGTCCCAAGTTTTCTGTTTATTGTTAGATGTCATGTCTCTAAGACTATTTTAAATTAGTTTTAATGGCTTTAACTGTAGTCTGCATATTAAATGGACTCATTTTATGAACATATTGGTAGAAAAATTGTTGGATTTCCTTGCTTAAATTTTCAAGACTCCTTATACAGTCACTGTTGAAAAAAAAAAATCAATGACTTTTATAACTGCCAAAAGGGGAAATAATAATAATAATGTTATCTTAAGTAGGGATTATTAGGAGAGTGGTTAGTTGTAGGAGGTGCCCTGGCAAGGAGCCTCAAAGAAACAGAAAAAACAAGGGGAGGCGCTAAGCGGGACATGATCTCATCCAGGGTATATATA